AATAAAAGGTAAGATACACACAGAGTACACTTATTACAGTGGACCCCTGACATTCAATATTAATTCGTTCCTGAGAGCCATCAAATGTCGAAAATATCGAAAGTCGAATTAATTTTCCCCATAAGAAATAATGGAAATCAAATTAATCCGTGCAAGACACCCAAAAGTATGAAAAAAAAAAAATTACCACATGAAATATTAAGTTTAATGCAATAGAATAATTACAATAACAACAATAACAATAGATTAATAACAATAGAATAATTGACACTTACCTTTAATGAAGATCTGGTGATGATTGATGGGATGGGAGGAGGGGAGAGTGTGGATGGTGTTAGTGTTTAGAAGGGGAATTCCCTTCTATTAGAACTTGAACTGGCAGCCTCACCATGCCTTACCACACTGTGTATGCCACTACGATTCTTAAATCTTTCAAATCAACCTTTGCTGGCCTTAAATTCACTCACATCACCACTAGTTGCAGGCAATTTCTTTACCAAATCATCATGCACTCCAACACATGCACTCCACTTTCATTTCAATAGTCATTAGCACCTTTTTTCTCGAAGGGTTGGCACTAGAAGCTTTCTTGTGGCCCATGGTTACTTATTTTACAGAAACAAGCACCAAAAACAGTGATAATATGGATAATATAGAATGTACCAAATGTATCCTTAGATGCGTGCACACTGGCTGGCTTGTAAACACTGGCAAACACGGGGCAGTTCAGGCCACATGTGGACACGTCTCGTATGAATTGTATCGAATGTTGGGTTTTCCATCAAATGTCGAGGCGAAATTTTTTGCATTAAAATGCATCGAATGTCGGATTTATCGAATGTCAGGGGTCCACTGTACTTACCTTAAAATATTAATATTAATGTGTGAGAGGTGAGTGGCAGGGTGTTTATTAAATAAAATCAGAATGGCACACCATCATCCTCTAACTTGGCACCTAAAGCAAGAGGCTTACGACTTCTTTTTTTATCACAGCTAACCTTAGGCGCCATTGTCAATGAGAGCCAACTAGTTAACGAAAGAGTAAACGAGAGAGAGAACATGATACAGAGTTGACACAATGTAAGAACACAAACTGAACAGGTAGTGGGCGATCACTTGGTCAGGCGAATATATGTGTATTAATATGTGTCTATTTTTAGTTCATTTGCGTACATTTGTAAGAGTTTGTAAAACATTTACCTCAATATTTTTTTATTATAATAATAATTACCTCACAATACAAATACTCTTATATTGTGTACAAGTTGTACAAGTTAGTACAGAATAAACAAACAGCAACATACCATTTTTAGAGTGAATGAAGATAATAATATTAATAATAATAATAATAATATCATTATTATTAATTATAATATTATTATTATTATTATAATAAAAAGCACTAAACCCACAAGGGTCGTGAATTGCTATATATAGAGTAAAGGCATACGAAAAGAATATTTTTCTACAGTTATCCCCCAGTTTGACAAGAGAAAACGTAATTCTTCCGACACTACCTACAGAGTTGCTTTGTAAACGAATCTCATAATTACGTCAATTTTTATTCTGTGAGTGTATGTATCATGCTTATATGCTATGTAACGGGTTTCATATATAATTTTGAGGAAAATACCATAGATGGATTAATGAAAATGCCTATAATAATGTAAAATAAGACATTTAGTGTGCCCAAGAGTGATTATTATTAAGTAGTATTGGCAGGAGGAAAGAGGAGTGATTGGTGGAATGATGAAGTAAAGGGTGTGATAAAAGAGAAAAAGGTAGCTTATGAGAGGTTTTTACAAAGCAGAAGTGTTATAAGAAGAGCAGAGTATATGGAGAGTAAAAGAAAGGTGAAGAGAGTAGTGAGCGAGTGCAAAAGGAGAGCAGATGATAGAGTGGGAGAGGCACTGTCAAGAAATTTTAATGAAAATAAGAAAAAATTTTGGAGTGAGTTAAACAAGTTAAGAAAGCCTAGGGAAAGTATGGATTTGTCAGTTAAAAACAGAGTAGGGGAGTTAGTATATGGGGAGAGGGAGGTATTAGGTAGATGGCGAGAATATTTTGAGGAACTTTTAAATGTTGAGGAAGAAAGGGAGACGGTAATTTCATGCACTGGCCAGAGAGGTATACCATCTTTTAGGAGTGAAGAAGAGCAGAATGTAAGTGTGGTGGAGGTACGTGAGCATTACATAGAATGAAAGGGGTAAAGCAGCTGGAACTGATGGGATCATGACAGAAATGTTAAAAGCAGGGGGGGGATACAGTGTTGGAGTGGCTGGTACTTTTGTTTAATAAATGTATGAAAGAGGGGAAGGTACCTAGGGATTGGCGGAGAGCATGTATAGTCCCTTTATATAAAGGGAAAGGGGACAAAAGAGATTGTAAAAATTATAGAGGAATAAGTTTACTGATTATACCAGGAAAAGTGATACGGTAGGGTTATAATTGAAAGAATTAGAGGTAAGACAGAATGTAGGATTGCGGATGAGCAAGGAGGTTTCAGAGTGGGTAGGGGATGTGTAGATCAAGTGTTTACATTGAAGCATATATGTCAACAGTATTTAGATAAAGGTAGGGAAGATTTTATTGCATTTATGGATTTAGAAAAGGCATATGATAGAGTGGATAGAGGAGCAATGTGGCAGATGTTGCAAGTATATGGAATAGGTGGTAAGTTACTAAATGCTGTAAAGAGTTTTTATGAGGATAGTGAGGCTCAGGTTAGGGTGTGTAGAAAAGAGGGAGACTACTTCCCGGTAAAAGTAGGTCTTAGACAGGGATGTGTAATGTCACCATGGTTGTTTAATATATTTATAGATGGGTTGTAAAAGAAGTAAATGCTAGGGTGTTCAGGGAGAGGGGAGGGATTAAATTATGGGGAATCAAATTCAAAATGGGAATTAACACAGTTACTTTTTGCTGATGATACTGTGCTTATGGGAGATTCTAAAGAAAAACTGCAAAGGTTAGTGGATGAGTTTGGGAATGTGTGTAAAGGTAGAAAGTTGAAAGTGAACATAGAAAAGAGTAAAGTGATGAGGGTATCAAATGATTTAGATAAAGAAAAATTGGATATCAAATTGGGGAGGAGGAGTATGGAAGAAGTGAATGTTTTCAGATACTTGGGAGTTGACGTGTTGGCGGATGGATTTATGAAGGATGAGGTTAATCATAGAATTGATGAGGGAAAAAAGGTGAGTGGTGCGTTGAGTTATATGTGGAGTCAAAAAACATTATCTATGGAGGCAAAGAAGGGAATGTATGAAAGTATAGTAGTACCAACACTCTTATATGGGTGTGAAGCTTGGGTGGTAAATGCAGCAGCGAGGAGACGGTTGGAGGCAGTGGAGATGTCCTGTCTAAGGGCAATGTGTGGTGTAAATATTATGCAGAAAATTCGGAGTGTAGAAATTAGGAAAAGGTGTGGAGTTAATAAAAGTATTAGTCAGAGGGCAGGAGAGGGGTTGTTGAGGTGGTTTGGTCATTTAGAGAGAATGGATCAAAGTAGAATGACATGGAAAGCATATAAATCTATAAGGTAAGGAAGGCGAGGTAGGGGTCATCCTCGAAAGGGTTGGAAAGAGGGGGTAAAGGAGGTTTTGTGGGCGAGGGGCTTGGACTTCCAGCAAGCGTGCATGAGCATGTTAGATAGGAGTGAATGGAGACGAATGGTACTTGGGACCTGAAGATCTGTTGGAGTGTGAGCAGGGTAATATTTAGTGAAGGGATTTAGGGAAACCGGTTATTTTCATATAGTTGGACTTGAGTCCTGGAAATGGGAAGTACAATGCCTGCACTTTAAAGGAGGGGTTTGGGATATTGGCAGTTTGGAGGGATATGCTGTGTATCTTTATACGTATATGCTTCTAAACTGTTGTATTCTGAGCACCTCTGCAAAAACAGTGATAATGTGTGAGTGTGGTGAAAGTGTTGAATGATGATGAAAGCATTTTCTTTTTGGGGATTTTCTTTCTTTTTTGGGTCACCCTGCCTCGGAGGGAGACAGCTGACTTGTTGAAAAAAAAAGTATTGGCGTCATGAGCAGAGAGAGACTTAGCAATTTTAATGTGTACCTGCACACCAGCACAGTGTGTAAGTATATTTAGGTACAGGTACACATAAGTATAATTATCAGAGTACATATAAAATATGCAGTAACTTTAAAACACTTGAAATTTTGGAAAATTTCCTGACATAATAGATGTGGTCACGGAGAATGTAAACAAACCAGGTGGGGGGGCGCCGTATTTGTAAGACCGCTTGCCGTATAGCAAATTTTGGTGATAATTTGACATTGCCATATTAGCGGAACACCGTAAGGCGAAACACCATAAAGCGGGGCCCTACTGTACTGTGCTTGAGGATTCCTCAACTATTTACTCATTACATCAAACTTCTAATTGTTTCAATTTCGTTGTTTTAAATTGTGCGAAATCGTAATACTGTATTTTTTATATACACTATATGAAAACTGTAATTATTCTCTACTGAACTTACTAAAGCCATATAATGTGAGCTAGTTGAATATTCAATTTTCTTCTATTCACTGTAACTCACCTAATGACCATATGTAAAATCATAGCACTGTTATTGCCTTACTAATCTTAAGTTAGTCTTAAGCTTGCCCGAAATGCTCTGCATATAAAGGGGCTTTTGGCATTTTCACCAAACTGTTACACTCCTTTGTACAAACATGCATCATGCTAAAATAAACTTGTTACTGTTATTGTTATGCAAAAGATATGTGATCCTGATAGCAGGTCCTTCATGTTCATTATTTGGGATTATGGTCTTTACTGTCATGGCTGTACTGAATGAGCTTCAGCTCCCTCAGAATGGTGATGGCATGTACAGACCAAACTAGAAATCATGGACAATTAGAATTAAACATGGGGCCATCAGAGAGAAGAGTGAACAGAATAAGCATGCCAGGGCAGTGAAGAAGGCTTTGACTTAGCATTAATGTCACTTCATGAAATTAGTAATCCATTACATACCATCCTGACCGACAGTATTCCTGATCTCATGCTTTCTCCATACTTGAGGTACCAGAAAGACAAACAGGCACTATCTTGGAATGGCACCTCTTCACTTATTAGCTGAGAAACACCACCTGAAAATTTCCTCTCATTATTATAATGCTATTTTTTATCTACCTTACTAGCCATTTCCCAGTAAGGCAGAACTTTTTTTAATTTTCATTAAAGGTTCTTTTTAATATATTTGATTACAATTTCAATAAACAGTACATATCCTGCTTAAAATTCTGACTGAATGCAAACTAATTTTAAAATGTGTAGCTTTAATTATTAAAATGCAATGTTAAATGTAATTTTTAATAGTAAATACACCTCAGAAATAATAATGTCTAACTTTAGCTTTTTACTTCCAAAACTGTTACTCATTTTCATCAACTTAAACTACAACTAGAATATGACAACAATAATAATATATCATACCAGTGACACCATCTACTGTGAAGTCAATATAAGCATAGAGCCCATCTTGAGATGTGTGATCAGTAAAAGGCCCAGACACTATATCTGGGTCAATGGTGAAGCCTTGTCCCACAAGCCATGGCAGAGTGCTCATAAACACATTACTCCAGCCACAAAGACTCTCATCAAAATCACAAGATAATATGTTGCTAGGACAGTGATCTGGAACAAGGCTGATGTCATCCAAGACCACAGAATTACCAAACTCTTCGGGATATTCAGCTTTAAATGCAAGCTGTATAGAATGAGAGGAAAAAATTTTGAGTAAAGATGGTTTAGATAAACAAAACCAATTAGTATTCTCTAGAGTAGGTTATAACGAAACATGGTAAAGACAGAATGAGATGAATCAGTTATTAACTAATGAATAATCTTATTTATAGTGTTTCAAATATAATATCTATTTAAATTATACATGAAAATTATAGTGTTTCAAATATAAGATCTATTAAATTATACATGAAACGAACCTTCAAAGCTCATTAAAAAAAAAAATATTAAAAAAACTGAACCATACCACACCTAAATTACTCACTTTGAATGTTCAATAATTTGAAAATATCTTCTTCTCTATATGATTATGCTCTCATTACTAACCTTCATAGTTCTGTTAACGTTGACATCTACTCGGCCTAGTGTCCAGCCGTTGATACGGTTTCCAGCGTGGCTCCATAATTCATTTTCATTTCCTTCTTCTCCAATTGCCAATAAGCCTATTGTGCTTAAACCTATATAAAAAAATAAATAAATAAATATACAAATATAAGGAAGTTGAAACTGAACACAGGAAAGAGCAAGGTGATGAGGGTAACAAATGAGTTAGGGAATGAGAGACTGGATATCAGACTGGAAGGAGGAAGTATGGAGGAATTGAATGTGTTCAGATATTTGGGAGTGGACTTGGTAGATGGGTATATGAAAGACAAGGTGAACCATAGACCTGATGAAGGAAAAAAGGTGGGTGGTGTACCGAAGTATCTACAGAGAGAAAAAAATGTTATCCATGGAGGAAGAGGGAAATGTATTAGTGTAAAGTGGTACCAACACTCATACATGGGTGTGAAGCATGTTGCAGCAAGGTGGAGGAGGTTGGAGGCAGTGGAGATGTCATGTCTAAGGGTAACGTGTGGCATAAATATCAGGCAGAGAATTCACAGTTAGGAGATTAGGAGGAGGTGAGGAGTTACTGAAAGTATTATTCAGAGGGCTGAAGAGGGGCTGTTGAGGTGGTTTGGTCATTTAGAGAGGATGGAGCAAAATAGGATTACTTGGATGGTGTAAAAATCTGTAGTGGAGGGAAGGGTAGGTAAGGATTGCCCTAGAAAAGGATGGAGGGGGAACAGGTTAAAATAGGTTTTGTGTGCAAGAGGCTTGGACATACAACAGGCATGTGTGAGCAAGTAAGATAGGAGTGAGTGAAGACGAAACGTTTTTGGGACTAGACGAGCTATTGGAGTGTGAGCAGGGTAATGTTTTGTGAAGGGATTTAGGGAAACCAGTTAGCTGGACTTCAGTCCTGGAGGTGGTAAATACAATGCTCACACTTTAAAGAAGGGGTTTGGGATATTGGCTGTTTGGAGTGACATCTGAACTGTCGTATTTGGCCACCTCTGCAAAGATAGTGATTGTGTGTGAATGATGGTGAAGGTATTGAATGATGGTGAAAGTGTTTCTTTTTTTGGGTCACCTTGCCTCAGAAAGAGATGGCCAATGTGTTGGAAAAAATATATACATATTTTCTTCTTTTTATCAACATGTTGGCCATCTCCCATCAAGGCAGTGACAAAAAAAAAAAAAAACTTACACCCTCATTCACACACATAATCAATATCTTTGCAGTGACATGCAGTTTGGATGTCACTCCAAACAGGACACATCCCAAATCCCACCTTTAAAGCGCAGACACTGTACTTCAGAGAGCAGGATTGTAGATGAGCAAGGAGGCTTTAGAATTGGTAGGGGATGTGTAGATCAGGTGTTTACAATGAAGCATATATGTGAACAGTATTTAGATAAAGGTAGGGAAGTTTTCATTGCATTTATGGATTTAGAAAAGGCAAATGATAGAGTGGATAGGAGAGCAATGTGGCAGATGTTGCAAGTGTATGGAATAGGCAACATCTAGTTATCTTGCTCATACACCAGGAAATCAGGTCTTGTTAGCCAGGAAAACTGTTTAACTGGACTTAAGTTTTGCAAATGAAAAGTACAGTGCCTGTACAGTGGAACCTCGACTTACGAGTGTCTCAACATATGAGTTTTTTGAGATACGAGCAGTCACTGTGTTGATATTTTTGCTCTGAGTTACGAGTGAACTTTCCCTTCAATCCACAACCCGCACACCGCTTGTTTATCCATGATTTAATGCTTTAATTTCATGGACATCATCATCCTATTCTTCTAAGCACTGTCCTTTGCACTTACTTTCTTAGGACCCATGGTTAGAAAAAACAAATTTGGCAAAATAACTCTACAAAATGCAAGCAAAACATGAGAGAAATGCTTCCACAGTGAGGTAAACAGTGCAATGAGTTGGCGGCATTCTGAAGCTCCTCGTTATTATTATTATTATTATTATTATTATTACAGCCTCTCCTCACTTAGCAATGTATTCGTTTACCAATGACTCGAACTTATGACAGGCTCTCTTCAGGTCGCTTGTTCTATCTAGACTGGAATACTGCTGCACACTAACAGCACCTTTCAAGGCAGGTGAAATTGCTGACCTAGAAAATGTACAGAGAACCTTCACGGCAAGCATAACAGAGATAAAACACCTCAATTACTGGGAATGCTTGAAGTTCCTGAACCTGTACTCCCTGGAATGCAGGTGGGAGAGATACATGATTATATACACCTGGAAAATCCTAGAGGGACTAGTACCGAACTTGCACACGAAAATCACTCACAATGAAAACAAAAGACTCGGCAGACGATGCAACATTCCCCCAGTGAAAAGCAGGGGTGTCACTAGCACGTTAAGAGACAATATAATAAGTGTCAGGGGCCCGAGACTGTTCAACTGCCTCCCAGCATACATAAGGGGATTACCAATAGACCCCTGGCTGTCTTCAAGCAGGCACTGGACAAGCACATAAAGTCGGTACTTGACCAGCTGGGCTGTGGCTCGTACGTTGGATTGCATGCAGCCAGCAGTAACAGCCTGGTTGATCAGGCTCTGATCCACCATGATGCCTGGTCACAGACCGGGCCGCGGGGGCGTTGACCCCCGGAACTCTCTCCAGGTAAACTCCAGTATGCATACCTAAATAATGTATATTAGAGCTGATTTTCTCTCTTCTGTTTATTACAATATACAGTACGAATGTTATAAATGGTGCAAAGGTGACATTAAAACAATATCAGAGGTAGTTGACACAAACCCACTACCATTATAGTATGCTCCTCACTTAGTGACGAATTTGTTTACCGACGTGGTCTTAGGAACGGAACTCCATCGTTAAATGAGGAGCGGCTGTATAATTATTATTTTTTTATTTTTTTTTTTCAACAAGTTGGCCGTCTCCCACCAAGGCAGGGTGACCCAAAAAAGAAAGAAAATCCCCAAAAAGAAAATACTTTCATCATCATTCAACACTTTCACCACACTCACACATTATCACTGCTTTTGCAGAGGTGCTCAGAATACAACAGCTTAGAAGCATATACGTATAAAGATACACAACATATTCCTCCAAACTGCCAATATCCCAAACCCCTCCTTTAAAGTGCAGGCATTGTACTTCCCATTTCCAGGACTCAAGTCCGACTATATGAACATAACCGGTTTCCCTGAATCCCTTCACTAAATATTACCCTGCTCACACTCCAACAGATCGTCAGGTCCCAAGTATCATTTGCCTCCATTCACTCCTATCTAACACGCTCATGCACGCTTGCTGGAAGTCTAAGCCCCTCGCCCACAAAACCTCCTTTACCCCCTCTTTCCAACCCTTTCGAGGATGACCCCTACCCCTCCTTCCTTCCCCTATAGATTTATATGCTTTCCATGTCATTCTACTTTGATCCATTCTCTCTAAATGACCAAACCACCTCAACAACCCCTCTTCTGCCCTCTGACTAATGCTTTTATTAACTCCACACCTTTTCCTAATTTCCACACTCCGAATTTTCTGCATAATATTTACACCACACATTGCCCTTAGACAGGACATCTCCACTGCCTCCAACCGTCTCCTCGCTGCTGCATTTACCACCCAAGCTTCACATCCATATAAGAGTGTTGTTACTACTATACTTTCATACATTCCCTTCTTTGCCTCCATAGATAACGTTTTTTGACTCCACATATACCTTAATGCACCACTCACCTTTTTTCCCTCATCAATTCTATGATTAACCTCATCCTTCATAAATCCATCCGCCGACACGTCAACTCCCAAGTATCTGAAAACATTCACTTCTTCCATACTCCTCCTCCCCAATTTGATATCCAATTTTTCTTTATCTAAATCATTTGATACCCTCATCACCTTACTCTTTTCTATGTTCACTTTCAACTTTTTACCTTTACACACATTCTCAAACTCATCCACTAACCTTTGCAATTTTTCTTTAGAATCTCCCATAAGCACAGTATCATCAGCAAAAAGTAACTGTGTCAATTCCCATTTTGAATTTGATTCCCCATAATTTAATCCCACCCCTCTCCCGAACACCCTAGCATTTACTTCTTTTACAACCCCATCTATAAATATATTAAACAACCATGGTGACATTACACATCCCTGTCTAAGACCTACTTTTACCGGAAGTATTCTCCCTCTCTTCTACACACCCTAACCTGAGCCTCACTATCCTCATAAAAGCTCTTTACAGCATATAGTAACTTACCACCTATTCCATATACTTGCAACATCTGCCACATTGCTCCTCTATCCACTCTATCATATGCCTTTTCTAAATCCATAAATGCAATAAAAACTTCCCTACCTTTATCTAAATACTGTTCACATATATACTTCAATGTAAACACTTGATCTACACATCCCCTACCCACTCTGAAGCCTCCCTGCTCATCTGCAATCCTACATTCTGTCTTACCTCTAATTCTTTCAATTATAACCCTACCGTATACTTTTCCTGGTATACTCAGTAAACTTATTCCTCTATAATTTTTACAATCTCTTTTGTCCCCTTTCCCTTTATATAAAGGGACTATACATGCTCTCCGCCAATCCCTAGGTACCTTCCCCTCTTTCATACATTTATTAAACAAAAGTACCAACCACTCCAACACTATATCCCCCCCTGCTTTTAACATTTCTGTCATGATCCCATCAGTTCCAGCTGCTTTACCCTCTTTCATTCTACGTAATGCCTCACGTACCTCCACCACACTTACATTCTGCTCTTCTTCACTCCTAAAAGATGGTATACCTCCCTGGCCAGTGCATGAAATTACCGCCCCCCTTTCTTCCTTAACATTTAAAAGTTCCTCAAAATATTCTCGCCATCTACCTAATACCTCCCTCTCCCCATCTACTAACTCCCCTAATCTGTTTTTAACTGACAAATCCATACTTTCCCTAGGCTTTCTTAACTTGTTTAACTCACTCCAAAATTTTTTCTTATTTTCATTAAAATTTCTTGACAGTGCCTCTCCCACTCTATCATCTGCTCTCCTTTTCCACTCTCTCACCACTCTCTTCACCTTTCTTTTACTCTCCATATACTCTGCTCTTCTTATAACACTTCTGCTTTGTAAAAACCTCTCGTAAGCTACCTTTTTCTCTTTTATCACACCCTTTACTTCATCATTCTACCAATCACTCCTCTTTCCTCCTGCCCCCACCCTCCTATAACCACAAACTTCTGCCCCACATTCTAATACTGCATTTTTAAAACTATTCCAACCCTCTTCAACCCCCCCACTACTCATCTTTGCACTAGCCCACCTTTCTGCCAATAGTCGCTTATATACTCTAACTGTATCTACAACTAAATAATGATCCGATATATCAGTTGCCCCTCTATAAACATGTACATCCTGGAGCCTACCCATCAACCTTTTATCCACCAATACATAATCTAACAAACTACTTTCATTACGTGCTACATCGTACCTTGTATATTTATTTATCCTCTTTTTCATAAAATATGTATTACTTATTACCAAATTTCTTTCTACACATAGCTCAATTAAAGGCTCCCCATTTACATTTACCCCTGGCACCCCAAATTTACCTACTACTCCCTCTATAACATTTTTACCCACTTTAGCATTGAAATCCCTTACCACCATTACTCTCACACTTGATTCAAAACTCCCCATGCATTCACTCAACATTTCCCAGAATTATTATTATTATTATTATTAATTTAGGGAACTAAAGCTTGCTCATTATTATTATTATTATTATTATTCGATCTGTGATGCCACAACATCAGCTGAGTGTGCACTTGTTTACATCTCCATGGAAGCATTTCTCTTGTTTTGCTTGTATTTTGTAGAGTTATTTTGCCAAATTTCTTTTTTCTAACCATGGGTCCTAAGAAAGTCAGTGCAAAGAACAGTGCTGAGAAGAAAAAGAGGATGATGTCCATGGAAGTAAATCAGGACATCATAGATAAACACAGGGAAGGTATGCGGGTTGTGGACTTGGCCAGACAGTACAAGCGTAGTACTTCTACCATATGTACAATACTAAAGCAGGAGGAGGAGTCGATAAAGGCTATAACGCCAGCCAAGGGCATTACAAATTGTAGCAATTAAGTTCAGCAATAAGGTGTAGCATTAAGAGTGTAGCAAGTAAATCAGTGAAAAGTGAAGTGAACAAAAAATATAAAATAAATTTTAACAGTTAAGTTCATTGATAAAGTGTAGAATTAAGAGTATAGCAAGTAAGTTATGCGATAGAAAAAGCACGAAACGAAACGAACTCCTCCAATCTCCTCTGCCTATCTTTGTTGTTGGGGTTTATAGGGCCACTGACAGCATACACCACTCTGCCTATCCCACCCTATCCCAGGTAAGTTTGTATGTACAATTTATACAACCAGTTTATTTATTTACATTCTCTATTATGTTTTTATACAATATTTCTTATTTATAAATACACTGTTTCAGTGTTTTCCTTATGAAACTAGTGATCTAGTGCAGTTAGCCTCACAAACTCTGTTTTCTCTTAAAAAGACCTCTGAAGGGAAAGCATGGGAAGCATGGTCAGTGTGGGAGCGGCAATGGCTGCCACCGCTCATCACATAATGACATATTTTATTAATTCTAGAGTATATATCATGTTTCTATGTTAGTTATAGTGTTTATTATGTCATATTAGATGAATTGTGATAGATAAATAAGCCGGAGAGTTAATATTAACGTCATATTGAAGTATTTTGTCCCGCCTCCTGAGAGCAGGAATTCCACTGGAATGGATTAATGGCACTTCAGTTAATTTAAATGAAAAAAACTAATTTGATATACAAGCAAATAGAGTTACAAGTTAGATTGCAAAATGAATTAAACTTATAAATTGAGGTTCCACTATATTTTGAAAGACTGCTGGTGAATTCTGCAGTTTGGTGGATAATGTGCGTGGCAATTTTTGTACACTTCTGAAAAGATGGTTAGGAAGTGAATTATGGTGAATGGGTTTTTTATTTCTTGAAAGGAAGGTCATCCTACCCTGGTGGAATATGGCTAAAATGTTTACAAAATGCAGAAAGTGAATAAGTTAGCAAGACTAAAAATGAAATAGGAGAGTTTTAAATTATTAAACTGCATGAAAACCTGAATCAGGTATAGTACAACAGAAGAACGGTGAGAGGCCATGTATTACTGAGAAAACTTATGCATGAGATAAGGAGCATGAAAAGAGACAAAAATCTCACTAATGGATTCACTTAGTAATGACTGAAGTGAATAGATGCGACATAACAGAGAATATGACAGTAGATATTTACTTTGTATATCACTAATGGATTCACAGGGATTCACTAATGGATTCACATCTATTCACTGTGAAGTGAATAGATGTGATAAAACAGAGAATATGACAGTAGATATTTACTTTGTAAGTGTTTGAATACAATAGGTACAGCATTAAGATGATTCATATTCCTGAGCAAAATTTCATCAACTTTATGACTTTTTACAATTGAGTACATTAAATTACAGATTATTTACAAACCTTCAATGTTATACCAAAATCTGAGGCACTGTTCACCACCACCTGCAGTTAAATATGGTCCAACTAATAAGCCATATCCTTCTGTGTGCAGTGAATCAGCCAACTGCGGGAACATGTAGTGTCCTGCAAAATAAGATTTAGTGTTAAAATTCTTTATTTTAATCATTAATAATTAGATCATACACTGTTTAAGAACCTGACTAGATGATCTATGTTCACTGTTATAGGTACCCTTTTCATTCTAGCTTCCAGTGAATGTTCAATCAATATAATTTAATCTGATTGCATCCTGGTATTAGAAAACCAAAGTGAGAGTAAAATAATTAAGGTTCTTGGAGGATGTCAGTTGTGAGTGAGTTTAATAATACTACTAACAAATCTAAAAGTAGCCTTCAGGACTCTCAACAAACAGTTATTCCACACCCTTCATACAACAAACATCAGGCCCATCTTGGTGTATACAACATCAGTAAGGAACCTGTACCTGAAAAAGCATGTTTAGAAACTGGGAAAAGAGCAGAATTATGCAAGAAGGCTTGTTCCTGAGCTAAAGGGTATAAGCTATGAAAAGAGGTTAATGTAGGTTAAGGTTGCTGGAGGATGTCAGTTGTGAGTGAGTTTAATAATACTACAGTGGAACCTCGACTTGAGAGTCTCCCAACATACGAGTTTTTCAAGATACGAGCCATCACTCGATCAATTTTTTGCTCTGAGTTACGAGCCAACACCTGAGTTACAATCGAGCCTCCCTCGCCTCCACCTCAACCCACAAACCATACTCCGCTTGTTTATTTATGATTTCATGCTTTAATTGCATGGAGATCATCCTCTTTTTCTTCTCAGCACTGTCCTTTGCACTTACTTTCTTAGAACCCATAGTTAGAAAAAAAAATTGGCAAAATAATTCCACAAAATGCAAGAAAATACAAGAGAAATGCTTCCACGGCGAGGTAAACAATGCACTGAGTTGGCGGCATTATGAAGCACCTAGTTATTATTTTTATTATTATTAGTATTAGATCTGTGATCCAGTTAACTAAATATATAGTAATAATAATAATAATAATAATAATAATAATAATAATAATAATAATAATAATAATAATAATAATAATACATATTAATAATAACGAGCAAGCCTCAGAACACTGCCAGTAGTTGGCGCAGTGAATGCCACAACATCAGTTTAGCAGTGCACGTGTTTACGTCACCATGGAAACATTTCTCGTGTTTTGCTTGCATTTTGTAGAGTTATTTTGCTAAATTTCTTTTTTCTAACCATGGGTCCTAAAAAAGTAAGTGCAAAGGACAGTGCTGAGAAGAAAAAGAGGATGATGTACATGGAAGTAAAGGAGGAAATCATAGATAAACACAAGGAAGGTGTGTAGCAATTAAGTTCAATGATAGTGTTGCAACTCCCAATCCTGAGGTGTCTCCTGGTGTCGCAAAATTTAAAAAAAAAAAAAAAAAAAAAATCTTATGAAATGATAGTGAATCTTTTCTCGATTGTAATGACACCAAGAAAACGAAATTTGATGGAAAACTGACGGAATTACGCTCTCACGAAGCTAGCAACCTCGGCGATATTTACAAATCGGTGATTTCGCCCAATTTAGAGCCCTATTTTTGGCTAATTTCATTGTTCCAGTTGACCAAACTCATAGCTATTTCTTTAGAATTCCATTTTTTCTATTGGTTGAGTACAAGAAACTGCCCATTTACCAATTTCAACTACCCAATAACGTGGTCAGAAATTGGCAATTTGGCCAATTTCACGAAAATTAAAAATATGACAATTTCAAAATAAGGTCCAGAATGAACAATGCAGACATTCCAGGCTCTAAAATAACATTTTCTTTGTTCATCAGTCATGTCTCCAGGCCCCTCTGATATTACTCTTGCTTTCTATTTTGAGTTTTTATTCAAACAAAAAATAGAAGATTTACTGTTATGCAGATTAATGCAATATTGTAATAATTGTATAAATAACATCAACCCATTCATGACTGCATATTAGAATGGCTAGTTGGACATTTATTGGACAATGACATCATTTGTTTACTTTTGAACATTGGCAAAAATCAAACATTTCCCCTACTTTGAGCTCCATTTCCATGTTCTTTTTATAGAAAAACCAACCAAAATCACCTTGATTTCTATAATATGTTTTCCGTTCTATCAAGTGAGACCAAGAAAACGAGAATACAACCATAAATACTATACAAAAATAGACCACAAATTTGGCATTTTAATTAAAAAAATGGTCGGAGTTTTTTTTTTCTCATTATGCACTGTGTGCTCCAGAATTTTTTTTATATTGTGCACACTGACCACACAGACCCATTCTCACACATGTGGGCCTACCAGCTTTCTCCTGCTTGATTTGAAGCAGCTAGAATTTGAGTATATATACGTCAAACACAGTACCTTGTAAGACGTATATATACGACCAAAACAGTCAAAGGGTTAAGAGTGTAGCAAGTAAGTTAAGCAATTAAGCTATAGAAAAAGCACGAAACGAAATGAACTCCTCCAATCTCTTCTGCCTATCTTTGTTGTTGGGGTTTATAGGGCCACTGACAGCATATGGCACTCTGTCTTTCCTACCCTCAACCTCCACCAGCATCTCTGCTCCCTGGTAAGTGTGTACGTACACTTTATATAACCAGCTTATTTCTTGACATTCTCTATCATGTTTCTATACAACATTTCTTATTTATAAATACAGTGTTTTCCTTATGAAACTAGTGATCTAGTGCAGTTAGTCTCACAAACTCTGTTTTCTCTTATAATAAGACCTCTGAAGGGGAAGCATGGTCAGAGCAGAAGCAGCTGACAACACTCAACACATAATGACATATTTCATTTATTCTAGAGTATATATCATGTTTCTATGTTATTTATATTGTTTATTATGTCATATTAGATGAATTGTGATAGAAAAATAAACCATAGAGTTGATATTAGCATCATATTGAAGTATTTTGTCCTGCCTCCCGAGAGCAGGAATTCCGCTGGAATGGATTAATGGCATTTCAGTTAATTTAAATGAGGAAAATTGGTTTGATACACAAGCAAACTGAGTTACGAGCTAGGTCACGGAACGGATTAAACCTGCAAGTTGAGGTTCCACTGTACTAACAAATCTAAGAGTAGCCTTTAGGACTCTCAACAAAGAGTTATTTCATGCCCTTTATACAACATATGTACATAAAGCCCAACTTGGTGTATGGAACCTGCACCTGAAAAACATGTTAAGAAACTGGAAAAAAAGCAGAAGTATGTAAGAAGGTTTGTTCCTGAGCTAAAGGGTATGAGCTATGAGAAGAGGTTAATGGAACTGAATTTAATAACATTGGAGGACAGAAGTACCCGAGAAGGCATGAAAACACCATACAAAATACCCAAGGGAATTGAAGATTTAAAGAGATTTAAAAATTTATTTATTTATTTGCAATGTTTACAATATGTGATTACAATTTTCATTTGTTAAGTACAAAGAAAGCCAATATTATGCTGGGGCACTTCAGGCAGGATAGGGTCAGATAGAGTTAATAGAGAATGGCTGACTGAGAGGTCAGAAACAGGAACTTCGGGACACAGCTAAAAGTTAAAAAATGCAGATGAGTTACAGGGATGCCAGGAAGAATTTCTTCAGTCTCAGAGCGGTAGTGAAGTGCAATGATCTTAAGGAAGTGACTGAGGCAGTTTAAATACATAGTTTTAAGAACAGGTACAATAGGGACAACAAGGCAAGTTAAGACAGGGTTGATCCACAGGAGCTGTGAATCAACCCCTGCAGCCACAAATATGTGAGTACAAGTTACTTATTAAGTAGCACCAAAAGTAAACAAGTACAGATAACAGCCCATGGAGTAGAGAATCTAATTTACAATATTTTATGGATGGGTTTATGAAGGATGAGGTTAACCATAGAATTAATGAAGGAAAAAAGGTGAGTGGTGCAATGAGGCATAAGTGGAGACAAAAAGAGTTATCTATGGAGGCAAAGAAAGGAATGTATGAAAGTACCAACTCTCTTATATGGGTGTGAAGCTTGGGTTGTAAATGCAGCAGCGAGGAGGCGGTTGGAGGGAGTGGAGATGTCCTGTCTAAGGGCAATGTGTGGTGTAAATATTATGCAGAAAATTTGGAGTGTGGAAATTAGGAGAAGGTGTAGAGTTAATAAAAGTATTAGTCAGATGGCTGAAGATGGGTTGTTGAGGTGGTTTGGTCATTTAGAGAGAATGGATCAAAGTAGAATGACATGGAAAGCATATAAACCTGTAGCAGAAGGAAGGTGGGGTAGGGGGTCGTCCTCGATAAGGTTGGAGGGATGGGGTAAAGGAGGTTTTGTGGGCGAGGGGCTTGGACTTCCAGTAAACATGCGTGAGTGTGTTAGATAGGAGTGAATGGAGACGAATGGTATTTGAGACCTGACGGTCTGTTGGAGTGTGAGCAGGGTAATATTTAGTGAAGGGATTCAGGGAAACCGGTTATTTTTATATAGCCAGACTTAAGTCCTGGAAATGGGAAGTACAATGCCTGCACTTTAAAGGAGGGGTTTGGGATACTGGCAGTTTGGAGGGATATGTTGTGTATCTTTATGCTTCTAAACTGTTGTGTTCTGGGCACCTCTGAAAAAACAGTGATTATGTATGAGTGAGGTGAAAGTGTTGAATGATGATGAAAGTATTTCCTTTTTGGGGATTTTCTTCCTTTTTTGGATCACCTGGCCTCGGTGGGAGACGGCCAACTTGTTAAAAAAAAAAAAAAAAAAAAAAAAAAACCAAGTAACAGAACTTTTATGGGGATACTCAGAAAATTTTCAATGTGTTTAACCCTTTCGTGGTCAATGCCATAGTACTAAGGCTTTGAGCTCAGGGTCCATGCCACAGAACTGTGTGATGAGCTCAGCTCACTCAGATAATCTGTGAGTGGTAAATTCTGTCCTAGATATGAGAGAATGGGTCTATGCAGAGAGAATGCACCATATAAAAGAAATCCTGCCCCACACAGTGCATGAATGGGAAAACAAAACTGTGACTATGTATAAGGCTTAAAACAGCAACTTTGTGTGTATTTTTCAATGGTTTTTATAATTTTCTCAGTTTCTTGGTTTC